GGTGCCATATGTGAGCCTAGTTAATTAGTCTTCTAAAAGCTGTCAAATAAGACATTCTGTGAGAGGTATACATCGCAACTGGTTACAAAGAGTAAACATCAAGCCAACAGGGTCTTGAGCTATCTTTGAAACTTACTGTGCTGGCCTGCACCAGAAGATATCTGCATTATTCTCATTGCTAAAAATGCATAGCACAGAACTGCACTAGGATTAACTTGTTTACAAGAAGAAATTAAAACTCTACGTTTGGTTTTCACATACAGTAGCTCTGTTGAATAACATGCATCTGAATTTTAAGTTGCAAAGGTATCTCAATAATTTTTCATGTGCATATTTTGTTGAGTGTTTTGGTTCAAGAAAGAATGTTTAAAGCTTTTTTAAAGACTTCAGTTCTTAATGTAACTGTACCCTTCTGCATGGAAAATCATAACCAAAATGGCTGCAGTAGACTTCTTAGTGGTATCCAGCACCACTTGCAGAGGGCTGCTTTATCATATTAATTGTACTTGGGTGTAGGACTCTAGTGTTCTTGGGTGTATTGCATGGGCTGCATTATCTACAGCATTGTACAATAAAAACTAGAAGAGGCAGTATACTTCACTGATGCTTGTCTGGTAATATCACTTCTGTGTTATAATGGAAGGTTTTTTGTGATGTATGAAACGTGTTTTTTTATATATAAATGAGTATAGTTAGATTAGTGTCGTGGTAATGCCTGTTTTCATCTGTAAATAGTTAAGTATGTACACGAGGCAATACTGATTTACTGCAGTGTTCAGTCTTAGTTTTTACTTTTATTCTTAAAGCATTCAGTTTTGCTTTCAATTTTCTGTATCTTAGTTTCAGTTAGATCTGCAGATGTGTACAGATAGTTCATATTTATGTATTGCACATAATCATGCTATTCAGCATTGATGCTATATTGTATTATGTAAATAATAAAAGCCATGTACAGAGGGAAACTTCCACTTGTTCATTGGGTTTTTAAGCCATAGTTAGAAATCCTAAAGGGGGATAATTAGAAAATGTTACATATTCAACTTTTTAGTTGCATATGTAGGCTTTGCATGGTTATATTGTAAACTTTTCCATTGCCATCCCTGAACATGATATATTCAAGTGAGAACCATGAGATGAGTGTTGTGAAACATCTTAAGTATGGTATGTAGTAGACAATTTAATTTTGAAGAAATGTATAGGCAACTTTTAGGATCAAAACAGTCTTAGAACTTGGGCCATATTTGTTCAGTCTTCACATCTCTTCTTTAATTTTTTTATTTCATTTTTTGCTTTATAAGTAACACTTCATGCATGACAATTTGTGTACAAAAACCGGCAAAGTTTTACCTGTTAGGGGTTTGGTTCTAATGTTGAGATGGACCCATGGGCTTGGTCTTTGCAGGTCACAGGTGTCATGTGAGATAAGAAAGAATAAGGAATAACAGTGACATGCTGACCTTGCCAATGCAGTTGCTGAAGTGAGATAGCAGAACCGTGGCTTCTCAGTGATGGAATTTGAAATGGAAATGCCTGATGCACTACCATCTGTCACAGTTCTTTGAATGCTGCTACTTTTGCTTCAGGTGGGAGGAAATATATACTGTACTTAGGATGAGCTAAAGGATAGTTATCTCCTAAAATACGAAGGATATTGAAGTCACAGTTGAGCTGAAGTTCTGGTATTTGGAAGACAAACTTAATTTTTATTCAAAGTTTCAAGATGTATTTTCCCTCTTAATGCTATCTCTGTCATCAAACATTTGATAGATTTTTAAATCTTAAGGTTTTGAAATCAGAGTAGTGGGTATACAGAAGACTTAGATGGGAAGATGATGGACCCTTCAACTTCATTGGTCTGTAATGATCTTTGAAATAAGTAGCATGAAATTGTAATAATTTCCATAATCATTTCTTATGAGAAACATTAATTTAGAACATTTGGCTTTGTGGATTTGATTGGTCAGGAAAATCAGTTGTGGAGAAGAATCAAATGTGTAAAGTAAGGCAGCTAGGAAGATTCAATTTCACCTAGACTCCTGTACTCAAACCTAAATTTTTCTCAGGCAGGACTATAAATGGGCTTTAACTTTGTAATGATGTACACTGAGATAGAAAACATTTCAAGAATATACCACTTTTCACCTTACAGATTCACTTCACATCCCCACTCCAAAACTGTTTTGGGAGGACAGTGATAGGAATTAGCTGTATGGCCTAGAGCTAGTCCTTTTGTCAAATCTATTCTTCAGTGGACTTCATCTGCAAAACTAGAGCCTCTGGTTTGAGCTGGTGTTTCCCACAGCATGAATTTGGAAAGGAAACAATTTTGAGTGGGATGGCATAGTGGTTAAGATTATTGTCCCTGGAGCCCTGCTTCTCTATCTGTAAATAAGTATAGTAACAATGCCCAGCACATAGTAAGTGTTCCCTGTTAAATTTTTTAAGAACTTGGGTTTTTTTAGAGCAATTTTAGGTTCACAGCAAAATTGAAAGAGGTAAGTGCAGACTTCCCATGTACCCTCTCCTGCCACACGTACACAGCTCCTCCGTTACCAACACCTACCACAAGAGTGGTACATTTGTTAAAATTAATGAAAGTACATTGACACATCATAATGACCCAAAGTCCATAGTTTGTAATTCACCATTGTTTTCTATGGGTTTGGACTAATCTATAATGACATATCAATCATTATAATACAGAGTATTTTCACTGCCCTAAAAAATCTGCTCCGCCTACTCCTCCGCTCCACCCCAGCCCCTGACAACTACTGATCTTTTTACTGCCCCCATAATTTTGCCTTTTCCAGAATGTCATATGGGATCAAAAAGTATGTATGTAACCTTTTCAGATTGGCTTTAGTTAATGTTACTCATTTAAGTTTCCTCCATGTCTTTTCATGGTTTGATAACATTTCTTTTTAGTGTTGAATAATCCATTTTCCAGATGTCCCTCAGTTTATCCATATACCTACTGAAGTACAACTTGAAGCTTCAAAGTTTGGGCAATTACGAATAAAGCTGTCATCAACAGCAGTGTGCAGGTTTTGTGTGGAAAAACTTTTCAACTCCTATGAGTAAATGCCAAATGTGATTGCTGGATTGTATGG